GTGGGGGAAGGGGCCGCCGGCGGAGGCGAAACTGGCGCGCCGCCCCGTCCGCCTCTTCCCCGAGCGCCTCGACCTCGTCCTCGGCCTCGTCCGCGACCTCGCCCCCTCCCTCTTCCCCTTATGGTCGGCTCTCCCGCCAAGGGCGCGAGAGAGGGAGAGGTGCGCTGTCTGGCGGCGACCCTCGCCGCCACCGATGAAGGGCCAGGATTCCCTTTCTCCATGGCGAATGGGAGAAAGGGGAGAAGAAGCTGAAGAAAGGAGGAGACGGGAGAGTGTGGGCTTCTGTGCTCCCCTCCCGCTCTTTATAAAGGAGCAGGGTGGGGGCTCGGCCGCCCCGGTCAGCGAATCAAGGCACGGGAAAAGCAGGGGGTCAGGGCCGAACCGCTGCCTCTACTCGTGACGGCCCAGATTCCCACTTCCACCGTCTGTGACCCCGAGCGCATGGAAGCCGCATGGCGGGGATGCAGAGCCGAGGCGACGGGTGAGGCGGCCTCGCCCCACCCCGTGATCACGGGAGTGGACGCCTCGAAAACCGCGCGCTGGCCCCGTCCAGTAAATGCACCACGCCCCCACGCCTACCTCCGTTTAGGTAGGAGGGCGTGAGCCATCCCCTTCATCATGGCTTGACGCATGCTCACGGGGCTCAGCCCCGCACACGCCGCCCACGTCGCCCACGACGCCGCGTTTGACGCGTGCCGTTCCGGGCATGCGCGGTGGAAGCGGAGAGATATACGGTGTGACCTAGGCCGCGCGTGCCCGTGCACTGTTTTGGGCCTGGCCCAACAGCGCTCAGCACCGTGTATGGCCCAGGCCCGGGGGCTCCTGTCGGTGTACTAAAGTAGGGGTACCTTAGTATCCCGAACTTGTGCACGGGCGGTCGCAGCGACCCGCGGCAGGGCTTGCCGGGCGTCCGCCAAGATCCTCAGCGGCTACTTCGATGCCATTCAAGAACAGAGTACTCAAGCTAAGGCCCCGGCAAGAGGAGCTTGCCGGGAAGGCCAACCAAGGCCCCGGCGAGAGGAGCTTGCCGGGAAGGCCAGCCAAGGCCCCGGCAAGAGGAGCTCGCCGGGAAGAAGACAAGACCCCGGCAAGAGGAGCTTGCCGGGAAGGCCACTCAAGACCCGGCAAGCGGCAAGCTTGCTGGTGCGACAAGATAAAGGTCGCGGCAAGGCGCTTGCCGCGGCAGGGCTGCCACTCTGCACCCACGCTCCAGCACGCCCGACGACGTGTCGCCACAAGATCGCTCCTGGTGCATGTGGCGGGTAGCTGTGCAGCATGGAGGTGCGAGGTGGCAAGCGAAGCTGACAAGGAGGCCATCGTGGCGATCGGTGGCGCCTCCAACGGTCGTTTCCTTGCACTATTGGGGTGACCGGACGGGCATTAAATGCCCTTGTCCCTTGCCATCAGAGTTAGGTAGGGGACACTGTTGGTAGCAGTTGAACCAACCCACGTTTTTACCTTTCTACCCCTCTTTCTACGCTGCCACCTGTCGGTGACCCCTTTAGCCTATAAAAAGGAGGCCCATGCGCACGTAGAAGGGGTTCGGAGATTCGGAATTTGGTTCCATAGCTTAGGGGCTCGGAGTTTTGGTTCCGCAGCTACGCCACACACCCGCTCTCGCGAGCAAGAACCGAATACAAACACACAAAGCAGCAGTAGGAGTTTTATCTCTCCGGAGAGCTCCGAAGCTGGGTAAAAATCCCCCGCGCGCTCTCTCGCCTCGATCCACTCTGCGTGCGCCCTCCGCTCCCTTGCCGGACAAGAAGGGGCCCTCCTGCCCCATAGGTGCTCGCTCCCCAAACGCGGCGACACATGCGTCCCGCCAACTCACGCCTGCTCGCACGGTACACGGGTCGCGTGGCGGCACGTATATTGTTTTTCTATTTGGATGATTAATGATACCGCTTTATTTTTTGCTTAACCGAAGCATGACACGTATCCACTGTTGGTCTAACGCTCACGGTTCGAATAAATAGTCCGTTTGGGATATTGGTTCCCGATTATTAATAATCTCCCATTTGTTATTAGATAAAGACTAGTACAAATGCCCGTGCGTTGCAACGGGCAAAAAAAATCACAAAACCTACTACACATGCCATTACTCACATTTCTTATATCCATTTCTAATAAATGTAGTAATAAATTTAAATTGATTATCATTTTTCGAAGCATGAATTTTGGACATCGAGAAATCACCCTGATGTCCTTCATTTGATAGAAGAGTAGTGGTGCATGGATTAGTCTGATTAATCACTTTCATATTTTGCTCTTTGGAAAAACCGTGTGATGCAACGTGTGAAAAAGAAATATCAGATGTTCCTTCCCACAGTAAGCATGACTCAAGACCTACACAAATCCATACCCTCTATTTCAACACACTTCCATTTGTATTGCCACTTATTATTGCACTTGCCGTCCATGGCCTTCAAAACATTCCGCGCGGCTAAGCTTAGCCGCTCGCTCGACCTTGTCGGAGCGTCCACGTCGTCCGTCGGTCGACCACGTCAGCGTATTAACCCTGCGAGCTCTTTCTTAAACCTCCTCTGCTAGTTTCGGCGGCTCCTAATGGTTGTTCCAAACAATACATAATTATAATATAAATTATGTTGCATTTATTTTTGATTTTGAGTGTCTTTTATCAATATGGATTTAAAATTAATGTTAAAGTTATTTAAAAATCCATAATAATTTATAATCAAATAATTTCTCCACCATATAAAATCTAAAATAAATATTTTAAACTTCCACTTTGAAAGATTAAAGTAAAGCATTAAGTATATGCTGGTCACCTTAAATTCAACCAGAATATTGTTTTCAAAGTCAAGTAATTCAAATATTTTTAGAACAATAGTAGCTTAATTTTGAGTTAAAATAAATAGGATATTTTTTTCAGTATTTATAAGAGAATTCGTGTACTGCTGGCTGCTGCTGATTTACACGGTGATCACTCATGGGATCGATGTACATATCTGTAGTTAATCTATATCAGCGCGCGCACACACATTTACCTTGGATGTACATACCTGTAGTTAATCTATATTAGCGCGCGCACACACATTTACCTTGGGTGTTTCCTCACGGCACCGTTCCTGGTGGATGTAGACTTGGACTGCGTTGAGGTAGAGCATCGTCGCCATCAAAGATAGATAGCAATCAGAGCAGCGGAATTACATATGCCTGAGAGAAAGACATCTATTGTAGAGTGAAATCTCCTTTTGTTTTTCTCTGATTGTAAGAAACAGTGGGGAATGCTGACAATCACACAAAAAGAGCAAAACCATATTGCACACCTGAGTGTCTGGATGTGACTACGAATTACAAATCAGGGTGGATGATCATGTAGGTTCTCATTCACAAATCAGCATGGTGCGAAAAGCAGAATGAGATAAAGTCTGGAAATAGGAAATATCCGACCAGCAAGGAGTAGTCATTACCTTGCTGCCGGCCTTTGCATACATAACTGAAAGTGGGATCGGTATTACTTAAATGCTGAAAAAAATCTTCTGACAATTGCAGTCATCAAGGAAACATGAACAATTTGTGCATAACTTGGCTAATAGCCTTGGCACGAATTGATTAAAAGTGTTATTAGTAAGACAATTACATTATCAAAAACTAAAAGCTTTTACAAAATAATGGCAAAACTGCATACACAAAAGACAACTTTCATAACCAGATATACTATCTAATTAACTTGATTTTCTATGCTTCGACATCGTGGACGTAGGACGAACTTGTACGCATCTAGCCTGCAATCTACACTTTGCGCAACGCCATTGGCAGCGACACCGGAGCGAACCGCTGTGCAACTTCTCGTCGGTTCTCTTCTTCTATGTCCCAGCTCATGACAACTTGTAGAAGGAATGCTACATCCGTTTTTCCACAACCTAGAATGAAAAAACTTGGCAGCAAAGGAAAATGTCGAGAAATGAGAAAGACGACATGTCTCGGTCTAAATAGCATAGTTAGTATTACAACAAGCAAACCAGCACCAGCTCCCTAACTGGACCTTCAAATCAAGACCTACTTTAATCTGATCGGGCCAAACCAATCAGTCAATTCATGGAACATATAGTCAATTTTCTATAAGGAAACATATAGTTAGATTGTCCGCTCAAGATCAAATACTGTTTGAAGGGACTGAGCAATCTACATAAATCATGAACACGTTTTCTACATTTCCTAACTAAAACAACAATGGCTGACCATTGGCTTACGCATACTGTAATACAAATTGCAAACTGCTGACAAGTGTTGACAAGTCGTTGGTTTTTGATGACCATATAAATTTACTTTGGTGAAAAGAAAATTTCAGTCATAGTGATAGCTCCAGGCTCCAGCCAACAACCAAAAAAGCAGTCTCATTGGTTATCAACATCGAGCAGTCCAAAAAGTTATCGGCTCGAGAGCAATACAGAACATCATCATAATCAGATATATCCCGAGAATACTAAAGGTCCAGATGGGATCGAGAGGAAGGGTCGTGCTGGTGGTTGGGTTTGTTTTTCTTTTCTCTCGCATGTACCGCTTCTGGTTCACTTAATATGAGGACTGCGGGTCGACGCGTGCATTGCGGCGGGCAAACACAATGCCCAAGGTGTGAGAACAAAAATGATAAAGACAGAAGTACCCTAAGGAATTCTTGAGCCGAATCTTCGCAAGCCTATCTTTCAACATGGCATTGTCTAGAGATTTGGGTCTAGGGTTCGTCCGGAGTGAGGTTATATGTGGGGATTTGGGCTGGGTTTCAGGGATGCCGACTCGGATATAATTTACCATTTTGTGGAGGAAATGTTCCTAAAAGAAGTCTGATATTTCTTGAGTCGAAATAGATAATTCTCAAATATTTCAGATATCATTAACATACATGTGATTACAGGAACAGGGTGGGGTTTTTTAACCAAAATCAAGCTTGCTCAAATCCTTGCTTGATTTGAAAATTTAACTCAAGCCTTGCATAATCACGAGTTTAACTCTCAGATATGCAAGTAGAAGAAAACTTAGACAAACCTTGCAGCGGGCATCCTATTTGAGAAAGTCCTGCCGTGGCGAACCTGAGACTCACACAGACTGATGAGCTCATTTAGTTCAAGAGGTAAATCACCATAAAGTATGTTTCTTTTAAGAAAGCTGCAATTCAAATAGTAAGGTCAGTCAAGTTTTGAAGTTAAACAGAAATGAAAAAAAACATATATCAAAGTTCGCACGCACATAAATTCCAGGGATAAAATGTTTATTAGCTCTGATGGAATTGATCCGTTGAAGTTATTGTACCCCAGATCCAACACCTTCAGCTCTCGTAAATCTCCCATCTCTCTAGGGATAATACCATAGAACAAGTTCCTGTGCAGTACACTGTATGGATGGAAGGAAAATAGATCAGAAAAGTTTGAAGGGCGAACATCATTTCATAAGTACATAAGATACAAATAATAATATCTGCAGACATAAGATGCTTTCTTGGTGAGTGCCTGAATGGGCATACATAATGCAACAGATAGATTTACTATGGTA